GAGGGCTATATAACCATAAAACATAACTTAAGAATTATTGGGACCTACTGGTGCGATGAAAACCCTTTGTGCAAGTGTCTGGTCCTTTGGATAGTTTCAGATTTCTATGGAAACACGTGTGACACATAAGGAGAAACAATACTCCGTTATTTGAAACGAAGTTCCTTTATGCATGATCTTTCATTAAGATCTTTACCTAAAAAAACATAAGCTGTACCCATCGGTTGACTATAGGGGGTGTATCCTTTTGCTATTGGTCAATAAGATTCATAGTCTCCTTCTCTCTCCAAAGGGGTGTAGCTCATTTCTGATATAAATATGTGGAAAGAAGTAAGAAAGTGTCCTTAGTTAGTTTTCAGTCTGTATCAGTCCTTAATCAGTCTTCAGTCTTGAGTTAGTCTGTCTGCATCTGTCTGTGTGTTATCTGTTATTCTGCAAATCAGTCAGTCGGTCTTATATTTGTAACTCTTTTGTATACTGTATTTTTGTAACCACGCCACTTTTTGTAAATTTATGTAAATACCGCTCGACATCTAAATTAATTAAATAAACTGTAACACACATATATTTCAATTTTATCATCCTATTCTATTATGCATGATTTGTAAATTTATTTTGTGACTCTTCTGTAATCTTTATTAGGTATCATGATTCAAAGATATTTGCAACCATTTGAGAGATTCAATTCTACTTGGATTTTATTACGAATGAGATGGAGCAAATTCTTTGATGCATTTGATACTTAGTTTTAAATATTACAGGATTAGCACTACGCACAATCGCGATTTCGTCTTATTATTAGAAATATTTAATATAATTTAATGCAATGAATAAATGAAATAAAAGTATTGCAAAAATATGCATTACATTTATTGCATTATTTATTTCAATATCATTTTATTACTTGACGTTTAAAGTGCGAAGTGTTATTAGGTCATCGATGGAAAATATTATCTGCTTGGACATTCGATTAAATGTGCTGGTTTATGTGTCAATGAACTCTAAGTTCATTTATGGTGCACGATCTAGAAAAGTGAACGTGAAATGTAAATTCATTTTTAAATAATTGAGAATTAGAATCATAACAGAATACGAGTTCATTTGCAAAATTAGTATGATAGATCTTATTTTGTTCGCACGTAGGAAATATCCAAATGCAGTTTTCAGGAAATGAAGAAAAGAAGAGGCTTAACGCCGAAGAGGTCCCCACTTAATTCTGGCTCAAGAGAGCAATTACCAGACTATTGAGTTATTTTCAAAGGTTCAACAGCATGTTCGAACTTTTCGAGAATTGCTCTTTAGTTATATTTTATGTTTTATTGTATTTATTTTTTTGCTCGTTATTAATTTGTAGTTGTAATTGGAGATGATGGACCATTCCATCTTCTTGTTAGGCCAAACTCATGCTTGAATCGTTTGAAAGATGCTCAAGTTTTTTGTTAGCTAATAGAGTAAAAACTATTTAGATTTGCCCTTTCTTAGATATTAAACTTAATTAACGTTCGATAAAAATCCTAATAATTTCTCTTACCAATTTTTTGTCTTTTAGGTTTTCAATTTTGACCGTATATTATTATATTTGGAATTTTTTTGTGTAAATGACGCGGTATTAAAGTAAAGTACATTTATTTTATTTTTTTATTAGTAACGTAATCTTTGAAGCTTTTACATTTCCTAATTATTATATTTTATTATATAAAATCACGCGTTTAAATTTAACTTTATGCAACGCGAAATAGAGATTTGATAAAAATAAATAGGGAATTTAATTTAAAAGTGCATCTGCCAATTTAGCGACTTGTATTTTAGGATTGGGTTTATTGACTGTATGATTAATATAGTTTCCTTCTTGTTATAGGTAATCATCGTTGGATTTAACTTCAGCCCTCTTCAATTTTATTGCATTAGAGTACCTTAAATTGTTATTATTGAAAATACATACATATATACATGCTTTTCTGAAAGCACATACACAAACACAAAATTTAAAATATCATTTTAGAAAGTTCTTTTAGAAATATAATAATTTTTGAATGATTTGCAGAATTAGTTATGTGGCGTATAATAATTTAAAATCAAAAGCGAAATAGATTGAGAAGATTTTTGGAGTCATCGCAGAATTTTCTATGCTAACTGGTAATATAACATTTAGTTACGAATGATTAAACAAATTTTAAGTCTTTTTTTAATTAAGTCTTAATAATTTAATAATTTTTTGGATATAAATAAATTATTGGAATAAATTTTTAATAATTGCATAATTAAGTCTTATTTATTATTATTGCGTTTGAAATTGTTCGAATCCTTCATCCGTATACTTCCCGCTAGTCTTGCCCGATCGATATTTCCTCGTTTCTTCCGTACTATTCAAATAACGCTCTCTCCTTAAAAATTTTCATTTCTTGTTAGATATGAAAATTTCCGATACTCGCATGAAGGAAGTTTTACTTGAAAAAAAAAAAAACAAATATGAGACGTAATGGTATTAATTTTCATTTCTCTTCATGGTGAAAATGGGTGAACAAAACTTGAAATAAAAATAAGCAACCTTTTGTCCACGTTTTATGGACCAATCTGTAGACGCGTTGAAAGAGGGAAAAAGAATGAGAGAGAGAGATAGAATGACAGCGGAAGAAGAAGAAAAGAGAGAGTCTGAGACGAAACACTGCAGTGTGGGGTTACCACAAGGGGTATTCACGGTCTTCGCCCTTTTGTTTCCGTAATCACCATTGTGTACGGGCAAACACGGTGCTTGGTTCGACACCAGATGCGCGATACCGTTACCACGAAAGAGAGAAAGCGACACAGAATGTGTATGTGTATACGTATGTGTGTTAAAGAGTGAGAGAAACGTTGCACCCGGCAGGCGTTCGACTTCACTAAACGATTCTGGACTGGTTCATACGAGAAAATCCAAGAATCCATAAGTGAAATCAAGATGTGTGTGTGTGCGTGTTATGTTTCTGATACGTGGCACGTGTTTCACTCGACACGCTACTGAACAATGACGTAGAAACTTTGAGAAACTATAAAGAGAGTAATACTTTAATAAGTTTAATAACTTTTATTTTGTATTAATTAACATAAGTATGTTTTTTCATGATTTGATTTTTGATTATTATTTTTCAACTAAATTTTATAATTTTATTCAGAAACCAATTTTATTCCGTCTCACTTAAATGAAGTACAAACATTTATGTATCAATGTTTATTTTATTATATTTAACAAAAAATAATTCTAATTGGACGAAATGTAAGGTAAATTTTTATTTTATATTACGTTTTTTTAGTTTATTTGTTGTTTACATTGAACCATTATTAATAATCCATTATTTAGTTTTTTTTTAATAATTTAAGATTTGATTTTTATTAAATCAATTTATTTTATAATTTTGGTTGAATTTATTCCTAATCCATCAGAATGAATGAATTTATGCATAGACGTAACATTAAATGGTTTAAGTTGAAGTAATGAAATGAAAGTCACATGGCACAGGAACGTGAATTGGTACGGACCTGCATACCACCCATGGGCCATCGTCCATCGGATCATGGATACCCTACGATATTTATCATTCGAACGTGACTCGCCTTCGCGTTGGCGAAGCTCGTCCTACCGAGCCTTACACACCAAACTCGACCTTTTTGTTTGCGAAAGACCGGATCAGGAGCATACGCGAATTCAACTATAGTTACTACAAGCACCAAAGAAGAAGATCAATATAACCATAGCATGTATAATTTTATTTTTTTCATTTTTTTCTTGCATCATAAGAAGTTACATTTAAAAAGAATTCATTAAAAAAAAATATGTATTTTGATCATGTTAAATTTTGAAAGGCAAATATTTCGTTATCTTATTGTTAGTTTAGGATAATATTTGATTTCCTTTTTTCTTGTTTAAGTTGTATTATATTTTCTTTCTCTTTCTACGTTAGACTTTCACATCGGTGTCGTTGAAAGGCATATACGAGGTTTTCCAGAAGAAAATTACGGCAGGATCTTGGAAAATCGATTAAACTGCCTTGTCGCGACGATACGAGCTATTTCCTGACAGCTCTGAACGAAACCTTCTGATCTTTTCACACAGTATTATTTCACGTTCGCTTAACCAATCTCGATACATCCGATACAGGAGCTTCAACTATTATTATCCGATAAATTTAGGTTAGGAAATTCAAAGAAATTGAGAATTTTCTTTTTTTTTTTTTTTATTAAAAAATCTCATCATAAAAATTATAAGGGAGCTTAGCAGTTGATGACATAAATAATTATGAGAACGAGATATGCACTAAAAATTTCTAATTGTATTCTTTTTAAACGATTTGTGAAAATCGTGTGATCGTATAAAAAGAATGTAATAATTTTGGAAAACAATAGATTATACAATAATTTGAAAATAATAAAAGAATGTAAAGAACCCAAAAAATACGACACTGGTAGCGGGTCTCTGGATCTCGATCACGATCCACGCGGTCAGTCCGACCGCGGCGGTACGATCGAGCAGATCGATTTTATTTTTTCTCTTCCGTCTTTCTGTCAAATGATTTCTTCTTGACAATTCATTGTTGAAAATACTTAATAATTAAATGTAACAAAATCGATTTCACATTGATTTCAATTTTTTCTTTAACATCATTTTTTATAATTTGAAAAATTACTCGTCTATCATTTTTACGTGCACAACGAGATTTTTTGATAAAAGAAAAATTCAAAGAAAAGAAAAATATAACAAATTTATTCGAGTATAAATTTGGTTGCCTCTGTTATTTGACTTCTTTTCCAGTATAAATTCTAGGAAAACATATTTTTCTATTAAAATTTGATTATCTATCTATCTCTTTTTCTCTTGTTGTCATTTGTTGCCAGATATATTTTAATACGTATTACATATGATTTACTGTTCTGGCAAAAGAAATTCCTATTGTGCATGTGTGTGTGTGTGTGTGTGTGTGTGTGTGTGTGTGTGTGTGTGTGTGTGTGNTGTGTGTGTGTGTGTGTGTGTGTGTGTGTGTGTGTGTGTGTGTGTGTGTGTGGATCTGTGAAAAATGTACTGTTCTAAAAACATGTGTATGTGTATGTGTATGTGTTTTTGAGTGATTTTCTATGGTAATAAATTGTGCTGGTGAATGGTTATAAATTGAACTATTCCAGTAGCGCGCATTATATAAGTGTTGTGAGTTCAAGTGTTTCTGTTTACGAAAATCATCAATTTTAAATCGATCAATTGATTAGTATAGTTAGACGTGAAGTAATCAAATACATTGAGCTTCCTCTTAGGCTTGTTTGGAAGAAAAACAGAAACAGGAAGAAGAAGAAGTAGAAGGGGAGAGGGACAAGAAGGAAGAGGAGGAACGGAATATCAAGTTAGGTGAGTCTTCCAGTAACTTCACATAATAATTGGTTTAAAATGATTTATAAAAGGTTGGAGGAAAATAATGTTCTTCTTTTTATAATTGTTTTAAGCTAAATTTTTCGTTTATTAAAATATATAACGATCTTAAGTTAATTATAAAAAAAAAAGAAAAATATAAATAAACATTGAAAGAATAAAAAGTCGAAAGTTTTAAAAATATAAATTGTAAATAATATGATAGGGTGGCAAAAAGCAAATGCTCGTTATCTACTTCTAGTAGCATTGGAAGAAGGCACTCGCGAACATTTACGAACATTCACGAGTATTCTAAAAGTTGCTTTCTCATTCAACGCGGACGCTCCGAGTTTGGCGAACGAATTTGGCTGGTGCAAACCGCGGCACGTAATTGGCCAGGGTAACCTACCCTCTCTCTCTCTCTTTTTCTCTCTCTCTTGGTCTCTGTATTTCCTTGTTTCTCCTTCTATCTTATTCGTTTCCAAAGAGCATAGTTCCTTTTGAAATGGTACTTGGTGGCAAAGGAGAGCCAATGTTCATACATACGTGCACGATATCGCCTTTCCTGATTTATGGACTCCATTGGGGTCTTTTTGTGCTAACTTTGAGAAACCGAACCTTATCGTTCCATTCTCCTTCTCATTCTCTGTATCGTGTTTTCGGATTAAACGCTTTCTGCGTAAGCCACACCAACCAGTACTAACTTACTAGCCATGAAGCTTTCTACGCTCGATCTATATATTATACCTTTTACTTCGAAGAAAAAGAGCCTCGATCGTTCTGTAATTCTTGACAACATTTTTTTACTTGTGCGATAAGCCTTGCTTGTGTTTCCTTTCAAATACTCGTTTCTAAGACGGTCGATAAAGGATTTTTAGAAAAAAAATTGTAGAAAAAAAAACGGATTAGACTGTTATTAGTTAGTTTTATATTTTGGAAATGGAGTAGAAATTTATTAAAAATATTAAAACATACTATTTATTAGTGTTTATTTTGTTAATGGGGATTTGTTGAAAAATTTGACGTTAAAAAAATAATAAAGAAAGTAAAATTATGATAGTATAAGGAATAATTGAACTAAAGTCTCCAAGTCTATGGCATCTCGCAAGCTGATTACTACGGGTTCTGTAGATAGAGTTTATAAAGAAATAGAGAGAAAGGAGAAAGGAGAAGAGAGATGGTCACACAACGACTTCAAAACAAAGTTCGTTTAGTGAATTGGGTTTTGGTTCTGGCCGAGTTTCGTTTCAATTGTAATGTAAAAAGTTCGAACGTGCGATATCGTCAAGTAAAAAAGTTTTATATCTTATAATGGATGGGATATAGTTTGCTTCTGAATCATGTTTATTTCATTGTATTATTTATTGTCAATGAATCCTCTATACCGCTCTAATGCATTTACCGTAATTACAAATATACTTCTAATATTATTATAGTTACATAAATTATATTCGAACAACTCGAGAAAACAGTAAACAAAGTATACAGTTTTATCTAATAAGATCAAAGGTGGAATCTACATTTAAGATCTATACTGGGAATAGATTCCTTTACGTCTTCTACAGATGAACTTTTTGCTCTTCTCCATCTTCTCTTTGTCGTCAATGAGTCCGTCTTCCCTTGAGAAACTATTCTCGAGTTTTACGTCTTCTTACTTTTTTTCTTTTTAGTCTTAGAAACCTCTGTACTTTGCCCTTTTCATAATAAAAACTTTTATATATGTACATATGTATATATAAAAGTGCCGTTAACTTTGATGACTTCTTTTTGAAATTTTCTGTTGAATCTCTTAAATGAATATCAAAAAGTTGGAGGTTAAAATAATTATTCTTTGCTATCATAAACTTTCCTTATGCTTTTCGTAATTATTTTTCATACGCGTATATAGGAAACAATGGTTCCACCTTTGAACTTGGTTTTTTTTTATATTTTCCATTGAAATTCACGTAAAATGATTTAATTGGACGGGGGGAATAATTTTATATATTTCCCTTTCTCTCTCTGAGTTCACAATTTATGATAAAGTTTTGAAAAACGTTCGAGTAAAGGATATTTACATATATTTTAATACTGTGCTTATTGCAATATATAAAATATATAATATTTGGATATGTGAAATCAAATTTACATAAGTCGATTGTATAATATTTAATGATATTATAAAAAAAACTTTCATTTGTAATTTATTCTAATATATGTAAATAGTGGATATAATTTTTATGCCATTTGCATTTGTTTAATTGTAATTTTTGAAATATCGCTACAATTTATGATTTATTTGATACCTTGAATAAATTTAAAGAATAACTAAACAACTGAAAATGTTGAAAAATTCATTGTGTTCATTTTATCGGAGAATTCTTTGCGTGGGTCCAACGAAGAAAAGACAAGAACGAAAGGAACAGCCTTGCGTGTGGCCCTTTAAGAGAATACCGCTTTCGAAAAGCAACGAAGGATTGTTTTTTTCTCTTTCTCTTGTTCTTTTTGCCTATTTTTCTGCTCTCCCTCTGTTTCTTTTCTTTTTTCTTGCAAAATAAAGCACATGGATATAGAAGGCATTGCTGCTCGCTTGAGAAATCGTGCCACCTCGAAGAGAAGACCCGACCTCCTTCTTCTTTACTCTTTATTACTTTTTCTTCACCAGCATCCTTTCAACTCGTTATCATATTCCTTTCTTCTTTTCTTACCAAACTCATATATTTTTACTTTATATTTTTATCGAATTTTAACATATTCCCAAGTTTTCTTCATATTTTTTGTTTAATTATATATTTGTTTATGATCATAATTACTATAGCATATAATGCTTATCTTCCTTTAGAAAAGTATAGAGAAGGTAAAAAAGAAAAAGTTATAATTCGTAGGTTGTTTATAACTCTCGAGAGCGATAAGACACACACATACATTTGAAGATAATTAGAAGGTTTCCGGAAAGGTGATTAATGATCAAGGGTAGGACGGATAGAACCGTGAGCAGGAATAGTCATATCGATCTAAGTGAAGGTTTCGTATGCGTTTGGACAGGATCATAGAGAGGTAGGAGTAGCAACTTTATCTATCTCACGAAATGTAGCTAAGCGAGAGAGTAGCACCGATCCGTTAGCGAGATTAATGAGTAGTGTTATCGAACGATACGTCTTTCTCTCTGTCAACTTTTTTCATTGCTTTTCTTTTCCTATTTTTCTTTTTTATCATAGTTACAATCTTCCAATTGGAAGAATACTATCAAATCTTTTATAAAATGACGACGATACATCTTTATTAATAATTATAAATGATGTTATTTAATTATTCTCGATATGTGCTAGTAATTAAGACTTAGATTGAAATTCAACTTCGTTGGTGTCGTTCGATTTTTCAATTCCTTTATTATTATTATTATTATTATTATTATTCTTTGCTATTATAAACCTTTTTCATCGTATCCAGTATCAAAGAATATGTGGAAAGAAAAGCAACGGATAATGGATCAAACAGACGATGTAGAGGGCCTGCTTGAATGACACCGTTATTAGAACCTAATCCGCTGAGAGAGCAGCAGCACTACTGATGTGAGTGAGCTTTGAAACTTCGTTGCTAGAACTTCCCGGATGTTACATGAAAATTGAGACTATATGAAAATGATACTATTATATTTTTCAAGATGATATACTATGACAATATATGTAATATTATAACTTTTGCATTATATGATTTGCTTAAAGATACGTTTATATACAATTCATTTGAGAAATATTTTTTTATAAAATAATAGTTTCTATTCGGAATTGATTATTAATTGCTTCCAAAATGATTTAAAATAATCATAAGGAAGAAATGAAAGCACATATTTAACGATAACATATTTAACATAGACATCTGCTTCTGGTTTTGATCGACTTGAAGATAAAACCGGAGATTAAGATCTACTTTTAAAACGGTGTCTTTGAGTAGAACCCATGTTAGCCACTTAATCTATCACTTAAAAACTTCTTCTAGCGTATCTTGACGAGACCGCGTCGAAATGGATTGAAATTATCGAAGAAGCTTAAAGGTAGGATCTTTGAGAAAATGTTGGAATAAAAAGTGTAGTTCGTTATAGTTAAGATTTAGAAGCTCATCAATAAATTTTATTTCCATTCGACTTTCTTGTTCATACTTACCGACTTCTTATATATCTGACAGTTAAATATTATAAATCATTGTTTTGTTAATTAAAAAAATTTAATAAAATAAATCATTGATTCGTTCTCAAACGTTAGGAACTTTTCACGAAGAAAACATCGCAACAACAATTAATTAAACTAAGCAAATTAATTATTTTGAGATCCGAACATTCCGAGATTGTATTATCTCGCGGATTATCTGTCTTACAAAATCATTTAAAAGGGCAAATAATGTTAAATGGTTGCCGTCTTAGGTACGGAATATCATTAATTACATTAATCTAATCCCCTTCATTTTTATTTCAGAACTTGAAGAATACTCCATAAATATTTCGTGAAAATGTAATGAAACAAGAAGGAAATATAACATTAGGATCATAAGATCCCTTATAAAATGAGCAATGAAACGTTTGCAAAAACCTTGATCGGCGACATACCATACGCCGACGAAGATGGGTATTCGATTGATCAAATACCACATTCGAGATTGGTATCGAAAATTTCAACGACGAACGAGAAAGGAAATCTTCGAATCACACAAATATCACGTACCGCAAGAACAATCTTTCTCGACAAGAAGGAAAACACCAAAAACGATAATAATAGAACGTCGAGTCCGAAATATATTTATTCGGAAAAAAATGCGAACGAACATCGATCGATCAGTAAAAAGATCGACAAGTTTCAAAATCCTAATAAAACTCGGTCAAAACATACACAGCAACAACAACAACAACAACAACAACAACAACAACAAAAACAACAACAAAAACAACAGCAAATACAACAACAAAGTAGTTACTCAAGCAGCGAGGAAAGTATAATAAGAAACAAATCAAAAAGTACAAGTTCAGCGGATACTCAGTCAGTAAATAATATATTAGATGAATACGAAGACGAAAGGATTATTGAATTTAGCGATGTAGGTAGTACTACCTGTACGATAAATAAATCTGTAAAAATAGAACATCCGAAAAAAAAACAAATCCAACAACCTCAACAATATCATTACAATCATCAAGAAACAAAACGAACAATTTGTAACAATTCGTTTGTACATCATAAAGAAAAATGTGAATCAATCTCAAAAGTTAATCAACAGACACAAGTTAGACAGAGATCACGCGAGAGAGGAAAAGATTTAACGAGATATTCTTCTTTGGCATTGACATCATCGCGACGAGCATCGCCATTGATTGTCGACAATATCGATCGAATCGCAACATCGGTGCCATCCTCAAAGGCGAATGATGATTTACCAAGAAAAGGCGAGGTTCAGAGACGCGTCGACGAATGGTTGAGTCAAGCACAATTACAAAGTTCCGTCGGCCCGCTACGTGAGAAGCCATTAACCAGATCAAACAGCAGTGCTGAACGACGAAGTAGTCAAAGAAGATGTCAACGAAGTAGTCAAGATCCAAGGTCGAGGTCAATCGACGAGTCCACCGAACGAGCTAACGGTGGAGCTTCTTCAAGTTACGATGACCTTACACGAACCAACCCAGATCCAACAACCTCTTCTTCTTCATCCTCCAATTTTGTATTCAATAAAGAAACTTATAAGGATTATTTGCTGATTAAAAATAAAACTAGACAACAGGATTATGGATTTATAGCTTCTAACGGTGTTAATAGAAGAGATATCAGTCCAAATACTTCATCAAAAATACCACAACGTGGGACGAGTTTTAAACGAAACGACTCAAAAAATAAGAAATTATCTAATTCTAATTACAACGATGGATTATTATCGACAAATACGTCAGCTGTTTTATCTAGAAAATCATCTTTTACAAAATCTCATCAAAATAATTACCTTGAATCTTCTAATATTACCGCATCTACCGAAGTATCTTTGATTGGCAAAAGAAAAGACAATGAAGATAATTCGAAGGGTCGGATAATTCAAGATGAAGGAAGAATAAATGAGGACCAGCGGATCGCACAAATAAATAAGGACGGTGAAAGTAGTAGGGTTTGTTCGCTTACCGAGAGATTGGATAAATCTTCGGAAGACGCGGTCCTGTGTAAATCGAGTCTCGAGATCGTTAAAAAGTATAGTATAGAAAATCCAGAAGCTAAGGGTAGTCTTGTTAGCGTACAAGTACGCGTACCGTCTCAGGGTCATATCGATTGGAGAAAAATAAATCAAAATAAAGTAGCAGCACCGATTTGTTCTAGAAAAGAGAGCATCAGTGGTTCTCGCGTTAAAAATCAATGTTCGATGGCCTTGAACGAAGAGTCTGGCTCGACGAGATCAACTACATTCAAGCCTAACGAAACACGAAATTATGCGAAATCTGCGAAGCTTGTAACAAAGGATAATAATGCAGCGACTAATACAATGAAATATATTTCCACTTGTTCGTCGTCGTCGTCTAATCATGTAGAAAAGATTTATGAACGTAGCTTAGAACCGCAAGTGATTTATGCCGACGATCTTCGTTCGATTCTAAGACCATCTTTACGTATCTCTGCGTATGGCGAACGCGAGGAAGACAATCTGAAGAAAGGACAAAAGGAAGACAAAGACGAAAAAGAAAAGGAAAAAGAAAAAGAAAAAGAAAAGGAGGAAGATATTTATGGCAGGATTGGAGAAATGAGACAGGAGACTCTCGAGACTATTATGGAAGATGATAGAAAAATTGAAATTGTTTGTGGGAAGGGATCAGTGACCTTGGACGATTGGAAAATTATAGATGAAATGAATTCGATCGATACCGATGAGAAATCAATAGATATTAAAAATAACATAATAGAGATTGATGAAGGTGGTTCTGATCTAGAGGATAGATTAGACAATCATGATAAATTGTTCTCTTTTGAGAATAATGGTGATGAATTTGCAATGAGAAAGTTCAAGGTCGAGGAAGATACTCGACAAGTTAGGGCAATGATCGAGGACGATCGATCGATCCTTTCGAAGGAAAATAAGGAGGACAGATCGAGTGGTATGGTGGTTAAGGAGAGTCTTCTGAAGAATTTACAATTTGATGCTGGTTTACCGGCGAAAGTCGAACGTCGAAGCGAGTCGAAGTGTGGCGATCAGCAAGCGAACAGGTCCAAGCTGTTCGACGATCGAGTACAACTTGTTCAGAGGGACAAGAGAAAGGGGGAAGAAGAGAACAAGAGTCAAGAAGAAATGGAACACTTCAGGCTGATGGATTTGCTCAGAAATGGCGACTACGAAGCAATCAAATTGGTGAGTCACACGATTGCAACAATCTTTCCAACTTTACATATGTAATAATAAACCAATGATATAATCATTATTTAATAATAAATGTTATATATGTCGAGGAGATATAGTTTAATTGAATTTATTTTCAAATATATCATAACGCACGTGAATAATGATAACTGTAACATAAACATGAAATTACAATAGTTTTAATCGTTGAATCGTTGAATCGTTACTTGCACGATATTTATCTATATTTCTCTTTCTTTTTCCATTTTCTCGTGTACCCTAAAAGCCAATTTAATTCGCTTGGTCGATAACTTCATCGAAAAGATACGCTTCCCGGAAAGCAATTATTATATTTCAAAATGAGTTCGAATATTGCAGCATTGCAGTACGTACTACGATTGTGTAACTAACAATGTAGTACTAACTGCACCTTCCGATAATTACGAATCAGAATTAATCGCGATACGTTTCATTTACCTCGTTATATCGATAATATAATCGATATCAAATCGGAAAACCATAAGAGAAAATATTTTCCTTTCTTTCTGTTCTCTTCATTTTTTATACATTTATCTCATTCAATTTTTCTTTTATACTCTATATTTTTATTCTTTTTCATTCTACTCTCTTTATATATTACTTTTGACTCTTTTTATTTTCTTCTTTCCACATATTTCTATTGTTTTTCTCTTTTTATCTTATCTCTGCTATATAATTCTATCTCTTTCCATGTTTTTCATTTGTTAATTACAAAATATTTTCGTTTCTCTTCTATTTTAAAAAAGTAATAAACTTTGAAACAACGGTCTTACAGAATAGAAAATATTATTTTATTTTTTTTCTATTTTCCTATCTTCCTATCTGTTAATATCTATATTTAAACAAAAATGTAGAAACTGGTTATAACGCGTATTTATTGTATATTTTCTTTAAATCATATACCATTCTATAGATTTATATATAAAATCTTCTTTGCTTGAATATCTTTCTTGTTTTTCTTTAAATATTATTTATTTTTGCTTCTCTCTTTATTTTCTTATGTTTGTGTTAATCTTTATCTTGAACCGGAATTTATTTTTATTTGTTAATCATGTTAATTATAAAAAAATAACCATCTAATTATCTCTTTTATCTCTCTCTCTCTCTCTCCCTCTCTCCCTCTCTCACCCTCTCTTTCCCTCCCTTTATCTCTTTTCCTTCTTTTCAAATTTACAAATCGTGTTGTCAGCGGTTTCTGTTTTTCCGGTTTATATAGGATGCATTAATCGAACGAAAGAGGAAGCAATTTTGAAAGCATAAATTGTATCGCGGTCGGCCAAAACACGGATGATCGAATTTTGGTGAACGATAAATGCCTATGTATCGTCTATACATACATATATATAAACGTATATAAATATATACATGCATACATACATATATATATATATATATA